CACACACACACACACACACACACACACACACACACACACACACACACACACCCACACACACACACACACACACACACACACCTTGCTGTCGATCTCGCTGCTGCCCAGAGAGGTCTGGATGACGTAGAGCAGAGCATCTGTCAGGCCGTCACACTCCCTCATCCTTCGTCTCGCCTCCTCACCGGCAGAGCTTACATTCCTGCCACACAGATACAAAGAACACTGATCAGAGTCTGTGTGTACGAGCCTGTGTGTTTGCCAAACAGAAAGAAAAAGAAAAACAAATGAGAAGAGTAAGAGAGTTGGTGAGGAGGGAAGATAAGACAGGAAGACAGATGAAAGAAAAAAATTAAAGCTGGTAACGAGGGGTGTAGAATGAGAGAGAGAGAGAGAGAGAGAGAGAGAGAGAGAGAGAGAGAGAGAGCGAGAGAGAGAGAGATACTGTTAAACCTGGCAGCTCTCCCTAAACTAAACAATTGAAAATGGAACATTAAAATTCTGGATACATCTCAATCTATGCCCCGAAGGCTCGCTTCATTTTAAAGCACTTGACTAGAGTCCAAAAAAAAGAGGAGGGTGAAAAACAAAAAAGCCGCTTTAGTCAGACAGTTGGTTGCTGAACTTCACAGCCAACACTCACACCAACGCTGCTTTGATAATTTCGCAATATTGTAACATTTATTATTAGCAGCTTTGCCAATGTGACGCACCAAAATAATGAATAGAATTTGAATTGAACTGAAGGTACAGGTGGGTGGTGTTGGGTTGGATTTGTTTGGGTTTTCAACATGGAGCTGTCTGCAATACAGATACACTCAGTCCCAGACATTGACTCATTTGGCTGTGTCAATAGAATAGATATGAAACCGAGATGTATGGTACCAGATAGACTATTAGATTGAATATTGCATTTCCTTTCCTGAACACAAGAATGAAAACACACAGCTAAATGTTCATAGAACTTCAAACACGACCTGATTTAAAGTCACACAATATTATCCATTGACCAGAGCATAACAGTGCTTACATTGCAGTAACTGACTCTACAGGGATTATTGACGAGGCTGTATGATTTATGTAAATTCAGTAGGAAATATTTAGAAAATTGAGAAATGAGTACATTTATTTTACATTGAATAACAACTTGGAAGGGAGCCATGCCAGCAATAGGAGACAATATCATTTTGACATATAGTACACACTTTGTGTTTTCATGCTGCTATAAAGACAAAATAGCAGGCAGGTTAGTGCTCAAACACTCCGCTTTCTTCTAACAAGTTCCTGGAGTTTGGTTTCCAAAGAAAGCTTTAAGAAAATAGAAAAGCAAGAAATGTTTTTTGAGTGTGTCTCTGTGTGTATAGTGCTAAAGGCAGCCTTTAGGGAAATCAATATTCGAGCCATAGCAGGCATAGTGAAGTATGTGTGTGTCTGTCTAATAATAAATACCAAAGTGACAAATGTATACACAGTCTTAAAATCTCATTGTCACAACCACGCAATATATTTCCTTAGCGTAGTCACAATGTGCAAAATCAATCCTTGTAAATTCTGTTCATAGAGACGATGGAAGGAGAGTGCTGTCCTCTAAAATTGTTATATTGCACAATAGTGTGGCTATTAGTGTAGTGATAGTTATAGAGTGGGAATACATTGCTCTATTGGCTGTCTCAGTATTCATTTCTTTGCGGTTTTTGACTGAGGATGGATCGATTCATCACAGAGGGACCCAATCTGACTGTGTGTTTGGATGATGTCTGCTTGTGAGCTTCCTTAACACTTTACCCAGTAGTTTTAAACATAACTTGATCATATAAATCAATAGTATCAATATTATTATCAATATTATCAAAGCACAAATCTGTTTCTCGTGGCTGGGGCTCGAAAAGTTGAGTTCTTGGAGTTTGCAAATATGTCAGTGTCAGCATATACCATTCCATTATGGCCTTAAACTGCAACACAACTGTGGGAATATACAGCCACAGCTCTTATGCTTATTACATCTCTGTATTTATAGGCTGGTGTTACACACTGGACCTTTATTTAAGGACCATACTGCAGTATAACCTCCATTACGCTGCCTTACCGATAAGGGGGGCATGGGTACAGATGACACAAAAAAAAGAGAGCAAGAAATCAGAAATAATTAACAAACCACTTAATAAAGTTTGGCAACGTGAGTTTAAAACTACTTTCTTTAAAGGGTGAAATGTCAAGAAAACACACGAGATGGACAATAGAGTCGAGAATAAGGAGACAACGCGATTCATCCATCACATTGGCATTATAAAGATATCACAGCTGCTTCCCCACTCTACGAGATGAGGTCAATCATTTATTGTACTGATGAGAAAGAGAGAAACGAGTGAGAGAGAGGAAGACATGGGAACTCAATTAAAACTTCAAGAGAAGGTCAAGTAATTTTCACCCGCGCTGAATGCTAATGGAGAAAACAAGCTTAGCAGAGACACAATACTCTGCCGAGTCAATATAAAACAACAGAACAGCGAAAAACACTTCACCTTGACTAATGTTTCAGCAGCGAAGACAGGAGGCGGGTGGGTGAGAAAGTGAGAGGGTGGAATATGTATTGCAACCCTCAGCCTTGAATATGTTGACTACTGAGATTCGCATCAAGTTTTTTTTATCTGATGCCTTATCATGGGTGGAGGTGAAGGCACCTGGCTGTGCGACATAAATGTTTCACTTAAAAGAACTTAAACAAAACGGTGACGTTCGCCAGTATTGATGTACACTGTAGAGACAAAATGAGTGCCTGAAGATGCCCTTGCTTCTGTTGTCAATAGATTAGACAAGAATCTAATGTTCTTGAAAAAAGAAAGCAAAAGGCCTGAAGGCCATTATCATTCAGTTTTTTAAAGACTGGGATGTACTTAGACTATACAGTATACTGAGCAATGCTGAAAAATAAGTTTTAATCCTTTCTGACCAGATTTGATAAAAGTACAATTCTGCAAGTTCTGTTTCTTGCACAAATTGTATTCAACACAAAATCAAAAATAAAAGATATGAATATCTTTAATTTGCATTTCCATAACAGCCTCATGTTTTTTTTTCAGACTGACAATTATTACCACAGACCAATGACGTCCCAGCGAGTGGTGCAATAATCCCATCAGGTGTGGGAAAGGTTCATTTTGTTGAATGATTTCATCCATGGCCCTGCTGAACAACGAGGAGCGAAGCCAGATCCCGATGGACTCCATTGATGTTTGTAAAATAGAAAGCAATCCTCTACGCTTTCATGCTTCCAGATATTAGAAGTGATATAGCGTATAGCAGACGTATAAAGGCAAGCAATAACGTCCATGTGCTCTCAATATATTCAAGGTCCCTACAGCTTGTTAGTTGCTAAAATCCTAAATTTCTGTGCAATCTTTTTAAAACCCAGGAATGACAATTATTCTGATGTTGAATACGTGTGTTGGTGTGGAAAGGCATGCACACAGCTGCCCCATGGAGATGAACATTGCGAGTGTGTTTGTGTGTACTCACAAGAAAGAGTGCGTGAACGTGTCTGTGTGTGTGTGTGTGTGTGTGTGCTTGATGTCTTTGCACATGTGCTTGTTAGTCTAGTGGTTCTGTAATGAAGCATGAAATATTGTGCCTTTCTGCAACACGCCTTCTGTGCTAGTTATTGGCAAGCACAGTGAGGCCAGAATTTCTTATGCAAAAAATAGCCTGTTAACTTTTTTTTCCTTTTTTTTCTGGGTGTAATGTGTCCTCGGGCATTCTCACATCTTGCCGTGTTGCATCACGAAATATTCAAATAATGCTTGTTTGTTTGAGTCAGCTTCCTGACTGTAACATAAGGGATTTATGGGCCATGGTAACATAATCTGAGCGTATGGCTATCGCTCAGAGAGCGAGAGAGCTGATCAGATGACATATTTCATAAGAAGATGAAGGATGAGTATGGAAGGGGACATTTTAAGCAATGAGTCTGTGCATGAACTCTAAAAAGACTTTACTCAGAGAGGGCATGTGTGCACCTACATGCTGGTTTTACCTCTGTGTGTGTGTGTGTGTGTGTGTGTGTGTGTGTATGTGAGTGTGTAAGTGATGGTTTGTGTCTGTGAATCTGTGAATGCCCGTAAATTGAACTGGTAATCTCGACTATTTAACGAGTCCATTACAGGCTTGCACTTAATCCTATCTGATGTCACTCCTCATTAATTCAGTCTAACTCATTAGCCTGCCATGTTAAATAATTACCTACTGAGCAAAAAGACACCGTACTAGATTAAGCATCCCATTCAGGATGTAAAAGTTGTTATTATAGCTGCCGTAAAGTAGAAGGAAAGTGCCATTGGTGCCGGTGCTAAAGAGTAAGCCTTTTCCCAACTTAACCTCAGAAATATTTTGAAAATACATAGTGTACTAGTCCTAATAGTAACTTATGGCTTTTAATGTTAACGATCAGTATTTTCTGTCTTCCTGAAGCATAATAAACAACATTTGGTTTCTTTTTATGGGACTTTTTTTTGTGGTAAACATGGTGTGAAAGTGCTTTGGGAATACAACAAAATATGAAAATATTTATCGGAGTGCTGCTGGACCAGCATCATTAGAAGTAGAGATTTGAAAAGATCTTTGAAACAAATGAATGAAGAAACTGAAAAGAGTTAACTGAACTGAGTGCATATAGGACAGTAATTCATATATATAATATTTTGGGTATAAGTCTGTCGTTGGCTGCTCTCTCGCAACATTCTCCTACATAAGTGAGAACAACTTTACTAACAAGCTTCCTGGTATCTGCAGGAGTTGGCTTTGGCAGTCATTAGAGCGCGGCAAAAGTTGACCTTGTTTTTCACCAATTAGGCCTACAATCTTTTAAAGATACCAGACAGGTTATACATTTTTTATTCCACATTGATTTTCCTCTCCAGGGTGCAAAAGTGTACCGTAGGATATGACTAGAGAGTCGCTGAGTAAATCACATGTTAGTCACTACTCTACAGGTTTTTGAGGGTTCATGCAACATGTATACGGGAAAGATGTCAACTTGAGTGACTCTTGGACAGATGGCTCTCTAATGTTGTTCAAGGAACAAATGGCCACTGAGTGACTTTGTCTCAAACAGCTGGTGTGTGGTAGCTCTGCACAAATATTGGATGGTGTGCGTGTGTGTGAGGGGGCAGCAGAGGGTCATCACCAGACGTAGCGCACAAGCCTACAAACCAATTAATATCAATGAAATATGGAAACAAAGTCATTCGTGACCACCTACTCCTTATTCTTTATTCATCCGATAACTTATTCTACTGCTCTGCCACAACTGTGGGTGTTTGAAAGGAAGCAAAATGAATGTGTTTATGAGTGTGTGATGCTGACTAGTACACACACACATAGAGACAGTGTGTATAGCGTGGAGGCAGCAGGTTTTCTCCAGCTTGGCTGTAAACCAACAACCTGCAGGGAGGTAAACAGCCCCTGAATGGGGGATATGGAAACCCCTTCACAGGAGACCTTGTGTCAGGCCTGATAACACTGTGTGTGTGCGTGTGTGTAGGTGTGTTTGTGTGTGTGAATAGGAGAGGGAACTTTAATGCCCGCCACCCAATTAGACAACATATGGGTCCATCAGCATCATTAACTGCTACACAGTTAATATATGCACACATGAACACACAAACATACATGAAAATACACACAAACGCACACTCACACACACAGACACGTAATCGAAACACCTGATGCCCTGACACCAGTTCACTCCCATTATCATATACAACTCCCCCATGCCGGCTGTGATTTCTGAGATTGATTCAGTTTAATGCCTTTGTTTTTCAGCGGGAACGAAAGCGTGCACACACTCACACATGTGCATATACAGTACAGACACATATACAAGCGGACTGTACAGGCGCATATGCCCTCAAACACACAAAAAAGAAGCAGACATAGATACACCAGTGCGCACAAAGGCATGTACACACTCTCATGCAGTGCACGGACACAGAAACGCACGAAGGAACAATGAGCGAGGTGAGAGGTCTGAAATTGAGCTGATGTACACTGGGACCTGAACATTGTGGCCTTGTGTCAGTTTAACCCTCCCAAGAACAGACACTGGGATAGAAAACAACCCTGGTGAGCAGCAGAAACACCTTCATTACTCTCTGTGTCTCAGCTCCCTTCTTTGAGATCCCGTTAGTCTTGTTCACCACTTTCTCTCCGTTCTTATCTTTGAAACTTCTGGTCTTCTTCTCCTCTACTCTCCCGTCCTCCTTCTCCTTTACCAGCTTTTTCAATTCGATCTGTACCCTGACAGTGTGGAGCAGTGCTCTGACAGAATCGTTTGTCTTTCCCCCGCATCTTCAGAGGTACACACACACTGAAGTCCCATAAACACCTTAGTGAGTTAGGAAATAATAAACTTGACATAAAAGTGGAAAGTCTACAGATATCACTGGCAAAAACTGATACTGTAACTTAGTCTTAAAGTTCAAGGCAATACATCTTGCTTTGGGGTAAACAAACAACTAAAAGAAACTCAAATGGTCTGATTTCCATACTAAACACATTTTGGTGAAATCTAGGCAGCATTTAGTGCGAGTCTCCTCATGCACAACATTAAACACATTACTTTGAAATAATCTGTTCCCTCAAATCATAAAAAAACATATCCCCATGTACCCCTATTGGTATCAAGCCATGCATATGGTGAGAGATTTTATTTCAAAACTTTTTAGATACCTGAGACGTCTGTCGCCACCGCAGTGCAGTGGGGGACAATTTAGTTTGTGAGATTTAAAAAACTCCAAAAGCTCCAAAGCAAGCTGTTCTCCATCCACATCAATAGATACCAAGAGGGCCTTGATGGGAAAAATGTATTTTTTTGTGATTTAACCCTTTAGATTTGCCTCCTCTTTTCTGGTGTCATGAACAACACTTAGTCATTGCCAAGTACTTACTGTAGGTATCGCGAAACCTTCGACATGCATGACATGTGATGAAGACCCATTTCAACTCATTTGGCCTTAAACAGCAAACAAATTCAAAGAAAATGTGATTCTTTTTTTGTCGTATTTACAAAATGTAGCTTAAATATACTCAAGTCATTATCTCTGATGCAAGAGTGCTACCTTTTCCAACTCCGAATGGGAATACATTTCATTGATATGAAACTTCTAAGGCATGACTTTATAATCACAATCACCTATATTCTGTACTCTTGCAAGTACCCAGTTATATACACCCAGGTTTTTTTCTCATGCATTAAATAATGCTTTTCTCTTTTGATACTGCATATCGTGGTAATGACCTATTGGACCACCCTCTCAATCCCCTGTTGTCAATCCCTTCAACACACAGGTGGACAAATTATTTGTTACAGTTAACAACAACCCAAGTACAAATGCAATAATACAAAACAGTTCACAAAATACATCCCAGCAAAAATACAACAATGTAACTTTCCCAAATGAATATCTATTGCAAATGCAAAGCTATCAGTGGACTGAATTAGATTTTTACAGGTGTTTGTGATATCGAGTTATTGTGTATAATCATCTTGTCCAGTACCACAGGCCCCATGACAGTTCCTGTGCTATTCCATTACTATTCTGACAACACAAGCCGGCGAGGTTTATAACAAAAATCTCAGCTGGGTTTTATCTCCAAAACGCTTATTTAATTACATCCAAGCAATACACCTGGCACTGAGCGCTGTGGTTAAAATTTAGAATAGATATCAAAGTGGTGTACTTCACAAAGCGGTAGGTCCTCTGAGGCGATGTACAACAGTAGTGCAGCCAAAACACAGGAATGTACAAGAGCTATGTTGCTGTTATGTCTGAGATAGTTGTACTGTCGAAATGACAAACAATTGATAAAGGTTGATGTCTTCAAAAAAGAAGTGCTGGTGTTGAATCGGTTCTTCCAACTGACTGGCAGAAGATGTTTATTTATGTCCAAGAAATCTGACTTAAAAGCATCCATGACCAGAAGCGTGCAAATATTCATAATTACACATTGTGGATGTTTGGAGAGACCACAATTATGCAAGCTGGTATTCATATTTAAAGCGATCACAAATGGGAACAATTACCGGAGCAATTGGAGGCCTTTACTTTGGTATGTCGATTGTATGCACACAATGTAGCACCTAACACACACAATTATGTGAATTACAAAGAAAAGCCTGTTTGCGACATCTTCAGAATGGCTTGAAATGCTTTAGAGAGACCTTCAATAGCCGGAGATAAGCATTCCAAACAGCTTGAGAGAAGCTCCGCAAAGCGAGTGGGGTGAGGTTTAATCCAGAGGCTGCTGGTGGTTGATTGAGTGCACAACTCAAAGAGAGACAGCCAAGTGGACATGGAGTTTTTTTCTGAACCGTTTCTGCCCTCTGTGGAGTTGGTGTGAGAGTGTGCGTACATGGACAAACAAATGTTGCCGTATAGGATCAAGAACCAGAGCTCCTTTTCTGTGCTTAGGACATACAAGTGAAATGTACACAGCCAGAATTAAAAATCACAACTACCGTGTGTTTGTGCAGAGTGTATTGCTATGTAAAAAAGGTTGATCATTTTCTGGATTCAACGAAAGATGACTTAGGTGTGTATCAAAGAGCTAATGTTGCTACAAGGTGAACTCGAAAATGAATCGACCAATGTCAGATTGGATGTACAGTAGACTTTTTCATCAACAAGTTCATCAACGTCGAGTGAACTTCTCCGATTTCTGACAAGTCAAAAAAAACAGTGATCGACAAATCTATAAGCTGTGCTTCATTGTTTCAAGCATTAGCAACTAGGGAACATCATCACAATGCACCGAAACAAAAGTCTTGACGCACAAAGGACATACAATTGGAGGAGTTTCTATGGTTACCATCACAAATTAGGGAGAGAGATAGAGAGAGGGAGAGAGAGGAACAAATGTGCGCTGTGTTCATCGTTTGTGAATATATGCATCTATAATCACACAGCAGTGAACATTCAAAAGAGCCAACATTCATTCTGACAAACAATGAAGTTGTCTCTTTATGGTGAATCTCAGCTACAAAGAAACACAAGAAAACGATAGTGGAAACACTTTGTTGTGTTCTTACAAATGAGAGTGAGATTAAAGGATTAAAGGAAGAGAGAGAGGAAGAAAAAAAGAGCATATGATTGTCTACGATAAGAGCGTATATGTGTGTGTGTGTGTGTGTGTGTGGGCTGCTTTTACCTGAGACACCCTGTAGCGTTGCGCAGCACCTGTGAGGTATGAAGATGGAGCTTGCGGTCATCATGGTGATTGGGGGAGGAGTCCCAGTTGGAGTGGGGTATGATGACGCTGTTGGTGAGAACGGCCAGGGCGTCCTGGATGATCGGCATCTTCAGAGCATCACATGACGACAGGTTCCAGAGCACACCTGCACACACACACACACGCACGCAGAGAGAAACACACATAAGGAAGTATTTAATTTCTTTGTAAAAAAAACAATTAAACAAGTGTTGCATGGAAAACAAAGTAATTATGTACTTAATGTTAATTACATCAATGTAATCAAGATTGTTAATTTTCCATTTGTCGACAGAGGAAAACATTTGTATAAAATTTTAAAGCAAATGGATCCATTAACCTCTCAGAGATGTCATAGCAAACATTGTATTTTGTGATGTCAGTGCTGTTTAAGTATATCCCTCAGATTTAAGAAATCAGAACAACCCCAAACTTGTCTAATCATCTGCTTTATGTTACCGATCCAAGCAAGACCTTTCTGCTGCACTGGAACTTCACGAAGGAAGTGTGGAGGTGCATCAGTACCGGCAATGCGGGACAAAAATGCCACCCACTCCTTTATTCTGGACTCCGCCTCTACAATCGACCTGATACCTTGTGATATCTGAGGAAATGAATTAGTTTGTTGGTCCAGGCGGAAAGCCAACTGTCCAACCCAGTGCATCATTTATCACACACTTTGGGAACACAGGCGCACACACATATACCAAAATACACCCTAAGCATATGCAGAGTTAATCAGTAGAAGTATGCAGCTCCATGTACACAAGTTGGCAAGAAAGACTTGGAAGTTTGTATTATGTACACAAGGATACTTTCAATCACCTGCAAGGGCAAGCATACTGTACACACAGTTCATTCTAACGGTAACACTTAATCATATACAGTATGGGTACACACACACACACACACACACACACACACACACACACACA